TCAGCGATGCATGCAGATATTATGCATACGATATAACAGGTAATAGTTTAATAAATAGGTAAAATATATATAAAATTAATAACAAATAGTTGATAAATTGTCGTTAATATGCTGACACCCGTGATATGCACCCTTTACGTGCCGGCTATTACGCAGTTGTTACGCGTATTAAAAATTCAATAAATAAGTAATAAATAATTAAATACCAATAAATAAATAAATATTAATAAATAAATATCAATAAATAAATAAATATCGATAAATAATTACAGAATATATACAAAAAATGATGTCAAGTAATTAAAAATCTGTTGCTAATAAATCAGCATAACCTGCAAATGTCAGATGTACTTGCTATGCGACAGGTTATGTTCGCGGTTGTCCGGCGTTAAAAATTAGACGTTGCCAATAAATACACACATACAATATAAATAAATAGACGAATAAACATGGAATCTATATACAATTAGCAACAATTAGCTGTTAGGCAGCTGCTATGACATATATGCACCGGCGCACGTATAGGTTAACCTATGCGCACCGGTGACATACGCGGATGATCGGCGTTGTATATGTATATGTATGGACAAGTACGTTATAAATTAGGACAAAATAGAATAAATAAACGAGAAATATATACAAAATTAGCAACAGATACCCGCAGTTAAGCTACGCATAGGCTGCCAGCGACGGGCACGTCAGGTACGTCGCGCGGGTGACGCGCCGCGGCGGCTGTCGCGTTCCATGCGTTCAGCTGTATCTCAAGTATTAAAAGTTCAAAGTATATGTTATTATATGTTAAATTAAAGCTGAACGTTCGCTCTATCGCATGGAACTTACCAAAATTGGCCGCCGACGGCGCAGGAGGCTCAGTAGTCGCGCTAAGTCCAACCGAAAAATCCAAAAATTCACTAAGTCACTTTTCGCGCACTTCACCGTTTTAGATCTATTTCTTGAGACCAGGCAATTAAAAAAAAGATGTTAAATATATAAAATAACGTTCTAAACAATTGCTGGGCCGAACCCTGCTGCAATGCAATGCAGGGTCGACCCGTGGCAAGGTCGGAGCAAGCTCCGAGCACCCGCCTGGTCCCAAAAAATAGATTAATATACTGAGCCTCCTATGGAGGCTGTATCAGATATTAAGCTGATAAGAACAGATTAGCTCACTTTTATTATTCAAAAAATTTCCCCAGAGAGACAATTCCTCTCTGGGGTGATACAATAATAAGCGGCTATGCCGCGCGCCAGTAAAAATATATTTAATGCGGGGGACAAGTGCCCCCCCCGCATGGGCTATTAGGACTAAAAGACTGGGGATCGAGATCCCCAGTCTACGTATTTGTATCACATATGTTTCATCCCCCCAGCACGCAAGCTGGGGGGATTCGTTATCACAGATTGATGCTCCTCCGGGATATCACAAAGGTGTCGTCAGGAAATAAAAGTCCCGGAGGAGCGCGCGCAGCAATAATAATAATAATAATAATAATAAAATTAAGAAATGTATATCGCGCTCATTCATACCCGTATAAAATACAAAATATCGCAACGCGGCATTCACACTCGAACAGTCAGGGCCTCACAAACAGATAGTGTAAATAATAAAATATAGAAAGATATAAAAACTAGTAAAAAGTTAAAATAAAGAACGATATATAGGAGAAGAAAGTAGAAGAGAAACAGAATAAAGAAGATAGGAGAAAGATAGAATAGAAAGAAATAGAGAATAAAATAGCATAGCTAATAAGCAGTCAGAGGTACAAAAGTACATAAAATAAATAAATAGATAAATAATTAAAAACCAGCAGAGAGGTGTCCCGTCCAATAGTCAATAGTTATATAATAAAATTAAAATTAAAAAAGTGTATATACTATAAAAGGCGAATAGCGCCATTATCACAGGTATCAATAAATAGTGAATTAGACATTGGGACACTCTCTCTGCTAAGTTGAAGAAAGGGGAGGCCAAGACAACACACAAAATAACTTACGCGACACTCGCAACGTACGAAACGCGACGCGCCGCATCCTGCGCTGATCTCTCCTCAGCGAGCCAGCGTCGACGAACCGCTCTTGGCGGCGTC